GCTTCCAGCGTGTTACCTATCACTTGGACTGGATCCGTGACCACACTGGAATTGCCTATTATTAAGATATGGCTGCCTTACGACTTAAATAAAGCATTAAAACCCTATTCTTATTAGCAGTTTTTTTATTAACTGATCCAATGGTGCACGGCAAATTGTTGTGGAAAATATTAACGATTCACAACATGTAGGAAATTTCTAGGGACGGGTGTATGGCTAGGATTTATCTGTAAATTTTCTCAAATATAAAATACAAGCTTTGAAGAATTTAGCTCGACACAATAATGAATTATAATAATATATTCAAACAATCTCGATTATCAAGTCTAGTTCTAGTTATCTAACTCATTTACGTTCTAGGATCAACGCGAGCATTCAAACAGTCAGCGCGCCTTGCCCGTCACCTAAAATTTAATTTAAGCTTGATTTCCCACCTTAGATAAGTTACACTAGCTTTTTCCATAATAAACTTTTACAAATTTGATCTACCCACAAATGTATACGAAAATATTTCAAATATCAACCTTCGATTCGTCAATAACCAGTCCGTCAGGATCCTTAAGATCTAGCAGAGTTAGAGCACAGCTTTATTAATTGGAATTTTGATACCCCGATCCTATGAATTATGGAAAATATTACGGATTTTGAAAAATTTTTCCAAAGACACTTATAATTAACATCTGATTTTTTAATTTTTAGTGCTATGCATAAATGGATTATTAAGGGGAGGACTCTGAGATACTGTTCAATGAAGTTTATTTTTTATTCAAAATGTCATACTAATAGTAAGCAATTCCAGTGTGGTCACGGATCCAATCCAAGTGATATGTGACACGTTGGAAGCCAGCAGGAGCCCCAGATGTGCAGGAAGATGTGCCAAAGTTTGTAACACCGACCAGTTTGTTGCCGTCATGTGTTACCAATGGTCCGCCAGAGTCACCACCGCAGGTCGACTTGCCATCAGGAGTTCGTACACAGAGAATGTTGTCGGTAATAGTTCCAGAACCATATGTTCGCTGGCACTCGGAGTTGTGAATGATCTGCAGATCG